TTCTTTGTCCCAGCCCTGTGGTGCATCCCACCTCTCATCTGATTGGGTTTGGGCTGGCTGAATCCTGTGGAGAAGAACCTCACTTTATATTTGAAATATACAGGGATGGGAAAGTAAAGGGGTGTGAAAAATACCCTGTGGTGATTATAAGAGTGCAGAGGTGATTATACTTGCATTGCATAGAAGAGACAGTAAATCAAAAACTGTCAAAAAGTATGAACAAAGACACTTTATAATGGTAAAAAGGTCAATGTATGAAAAATATAAGAATTAGAAATACGTATGCACCATAGCATCTTAATATAAACATTAACAGAACTGACAGGAGAAGGAAATATAGACAGCAACACAACAACAATAGAGAGCCCAATAACCCCATTAATTGACAGAAAATCCAGACAAGACATCAGTATGGAAGCAAAATACTTGAAATACAATACAGAACAATTAGTTCTAACAAATTTAATACAAAACATTCTATTCAGCAGCAGCAATAACAACAGAATACACATTCTCTCTAGCATACATAGAGGTTTCTACAGGATACATAATGTTAGGTCAACAACAAATCTTAACAAATTTAAGAATGGTACATAAAGTACTATTTCTCTACTCAAGATGAAATGACACTAGAAATCAAAGAGAGAGAGAGAAAATGAGAAAATTCACAAGTATGGGTAAATTGAGCAGTATATACTTGAACAACAATTGCATCACAGAAGCAACCAGAAAGGAAATTAAAATATACTGGGGCAAATGAAAGCAATACCATGACTACCAATATTGATGGGATATAACAAAAGCAGGAAGAGAGCCATTCAGAGTGATAGATGTCTACATTATAAAAGGAAAAAACCTTAAATAAATAAGTAATGTAATTACACACTTCAAGAAACTAGTGGAAGAACAATAAACTAGGTTGTCAGAAGGAAGGAAAAAAGATTAGAGAGAAATAAATGAACTTGAGACTAACAAAACAACAGAAAAATTTTTGAAATTTAAAATTGTTGCTTTAACGATGGCAAACTCAATCTAATAATAACAGAAGATTCACATAAAGAAAATAAGAAATGAGTGAAGAGACACTGCATTTGACATAATAAAAATAAAAAGGATCAAAAGAGACTGCTATAAAAATTATACTAACTACAACTGAATAACTCAAAAGAAATACATATATTCCTAGAAATATACAACCTACCAAAACTAAATCAGAAAGAATCTGAAATCCTGGACAGAACTATAACTAGTAGAGAGTAAGAGTCAGTAATAAAAAGAACTATCAACAAAGAAAATCTCAAGGCCCAATGCATTCAGTGATAAATTCTACCAAATGTTATAATAATTAGCAGCAATTTTTCTCAAATTTTAAAAAATCAAAGAGGAGGGAACACTTCAAAATACATTTTTTGAGTCCAGATTCACCTTGATGACACTATCAAAGATTCCACAGGAAGACTACAAGGCTTTAAAAAGAACAAAATTCTGTAATAGACATGGATGAATCTTGTTGAACATTATGTAAAATCCAAGCACTGCACAACTCTATTTATATGTGGTGTCTAAAATAGCCAAGTTCATAGAATCGGAAAAGAATTGTCATGTGTCAAGGGAGGAGGAAATGGGGGTTACTAATCAAAGGCATTTAGTTTCAGTTAAATGACTGAGCTGTAATGGTGTAGAAAATCTGTTATGTAGCTTTGTACCTAAACCCAACAATAACTTGGGTAAGTTGATACTACATTGTCTCAGTGGAGAAGCTGAGGTCATCCTCAAATCTGAAATACCTGTAAAGGATACAAAACTCAGCAATGTGAGTAGGTTCATCTTTATGGGCAATGGTATTGTTAAAGCATATCTCTCCATGTCCTAAACAAACAAGTTTCCATCAGAATCTATACCAACTGCTTTTGACTACTATGCCGTCAGTTGTGATTGGTGGAAACTCATGAACTTTTCAAGCTTTGGTGGTGAAAGGGATCAGTAGCATCTTTTCTGCATTGTTCAATTTAGTATTTAAAACAACATACCCTACATGTAAATCCCAACCCCACCAAGACAACCAGCCTGTTTCTCCACTTTTTCTCCTGGAAATAATCTTGGACTTCTGAATCCCTGCAACTTCCTTTCTCTTCTGCTTGGGCTTTCCTGTTTGCATGCAGGCATCTGCAAGATGGCTGTGTGCTTGGACTCAGCCCTCACTGGAAGCATGCTTCCTGCTGTTAATTATTAAAGAAACTCCAATCTCTAAGTCCTAGAAGGAACCACTTTTGTCAAACTGTCAACTGTATTTTTGTATTGGGGTGAACAAAAAAATATTGTTCCATTAAACTTTAATAAAATTTCATTTATTTATTTTGAAAAGATTTATTTATTTATGCTTACAGAACTGGAATATAGGTCAGAGGTGTGGTGGATGAGAGAGCTCACCAGAGACAGAGTAGGGGGGTGGGCAGAATGGCAGACTGACAAAGTACAGTGCTGAGGGTAGCAGTAGGTGGGTCAGAAGAGGTTTGTTATACCATGTGTGTCACCTCCCTGACCGGGGATCGAACTCATGCTGCAGTGACTTCAGAGAGCTTCATAATGTGGTGCTTAAACCCACTGTGCCACCAGGGAGTGCCTCCATCTTTTTTTTTTTTTTTAAAGATTTATTTATTTGTGCACACAGAACTGGGATACAGTCCCAAGGCGCAGGTGTGGTGAGAGGATTCACCACAGACACAGTGGGGCGCAGGACAGGCAGGTCAACGAAGTACACTGCTGAAGGGAGCAGTGGGTGTGTCAGAAGAGGTCTGCTGTGCCATGTGGATCACCTCCGGGGCAGGGATGGAACTCATGTGGAAATGGCTTTAGCTTCTTAGTGCTGTGCTTTAACCTGCTGCGCCACCAGGGAGGGCCCGAGGGCTTCCATCTCTCCATCTTTAATAAAATTTTGAAAGAAAAAAAAAAATCCCCTGCAGACTGAAGGGATTATGACAGATTAAAAATACCATCTTATCCACAAACTGATGTATTTCTAGTCTCTCCATCCTCATTTAAAAATGTGAAAGAGTGCCACGCATAAGTTACTGTTACAGGGCAACTCCGATATGAAATGGTTGCCTGACAGTGGGTCCTCATCTGTGTGCTCAAACTGACATATAATACGCAACTGCAGGCACACACAAAAAGGTTAATAAAGTGTTTATTTACAAAAGAAGGGGAAACGAAGAAATGAATATTTCAGGGAAAAAGAGAGGGAGATAAATTGGTAAATACGTCCTACCAGTTCTGCTGACCTGGAACTCCAATGGCGTGCTGAGAGCCGGTAAAACGTCAACAGTCAAGCCAAGGCAAGACCCAAGAGAGCCCCAAAAGCCCACATGTCCGTTTTATACCACCCCTGGCTGCCTAACTCCACCCTCGGGTCCCTTTAGTATCCCTTCAGTGATGCTGGGATTTGTAGTTTCCGTGTCTTGATGGCTTTGGGCTGGAGTGGGGGTGGGGTCCACAAAACCTGTGGGGACTTAGTTCAAAGTATCCTTTCCCCCTAACATTACCATTGTGATTTTTTGCTTGTTGGGACCCAAATTTATCTCAGAGACGACCCCTCTACTTTTGAAATATTTGCTAGGAACAAACAAAAGCCCTTGGGTCCAGAGACCAGTCCAGAGCTGAAAATCTGGCCCTGAAGGCCACCCAGCATGTGGAGTGTTCTGCATGCACACACAAAGGTGTAAAGAATGTAGCTGAGGAAAACATATTGGCTGCTTCGGAGCCTCCAGAAATGAAGAAACACCACAGACGTGTGCGGCTGTGAACATCTCTCCAGACCACAGCTGGTATTGGCATTATACCAAAAACAAGGTTTAATCAAACTAAAGTTTGAAACCAAAAATTCAATTTTGCAATACCGACAAGTTCCCTGCACTAACCCACAGGCACGGGTTGAGATAAGGCGCACAGGCTTCTTCCCGCTTGCAACACTAGTTACTTTTGTGTAATGTCTATCACTAGAAAAGTGATCAGTACTAGATTTTGTTTTGTTGTTTTGAAACATACATCTATTTTTAACGGCAAGGCATGTTTATAAAGACTCTGCAACAGACTGGCCCTTGGATTTCCCTTTTTGTAAGCAAATGTCTGATTTCAGCTTTGATCAGTGAGGCATCCATGTCACAGATGATTATCTCAAAGGTCACACTTCCAGCCTACATAAAGGGCCAGTCCTTTTCACACCCCTTGGTGTTAGAGATCTTTGATAATTCACCACCTGGGTTGCTTGTTTTATCTCTTCCCATGCTTAAAATTTCCTTTCTTATGTTTCAAAATCACCACAAAGAGGGAATCTGAAAGGTAGGACCTCACCTTTTGTTCCAGGCCCATGACTTGCTGTATGGCCCCAGGTGTGCCTTGTGCTTTCTAAGACTTGTGAGTGATAAACCTTTTATTTCTTCAACATATCCTTATAACCACTTCTGAATACACCTTGCAATCATGATAAAAAACCACAAGGGTCAGGCCAGTCACAACACTGGCACAAAAGTTTCCCTTTGCAGGCTCATTCATTTATCTCCTCGCTTGCACAGACCGTGTGGGACTGAAGGCAGCCCTCTTGCGGCTGTTTCCTCTCCAGTAGCCTCATGCCTACTTATGCAAAGGTGTCAAAGCCTTTTGTATCTGCGTTACCACTTTGAACTGGTGACTCACACCATGGAGTGTGGCAGCACCATGTTCCTCGACATGTCTATATTAGGGTCCTCAAGAGGAACCAGATATTGTGTGAATTCAAGGTGATTCAGGGGGTTTCCATTTGAGAAATGAAAAAGCTTCCTGATTCTTTTTCTCAAAGAATCTGGGTAGAGCTTTGGAGACACCTCTGAGACTGTTGGAAGATGCTCACCAACATCCAACTTTGCAAAGCTATCAGGGCTGAAACACCAAAGCTTGGAGGAAGATGGCCAATCAGAAAAAGGGCAGGATATGATGCTCTTACTTCTCCTTTTCTAATTATGTAGACCTCATGGGTCATCACCCTCATTTCAACCTTCCTGGTTGGGAAAGAAGTCCTCCTTTTGGCAAGAAAGACTCTCCCTTCCCTGGGGCAGGCCAGGTCCCCATGCTTCTTTGGCTGCTGCTGATCCTGGGTGAGTCCAGGGGTTGGGCTGGACAGGGCCTCTGTTCCTCATGTTGCTCAGGGGAAAGCCAAGGAGTTCCTCTTGCTTCTTGCTTTTGGGGTTCAGAGACTGCACAATAGGGGAAAAGAGGGAACTGAGTTCCCAGGGAAACCAAAAGTCTGCAAATATAATCCTCAGTGCAAGCAAGTATGCTACTCATGGTTTTTCACCCATTTCGCCCTTCATCTCCTAGAAAGATTGGGTTTTTCTTTCTGCCAAACCTTAACTCCAAATTCCTCAGATAAACTTTGCTGTCAAAAGCAGGAATGAGCAGTTTACAGAAGGTACCTTTAAGGTACCAGTGAAGGATACTTTCCATAGTGGGGTGGGGTATGGCCCACAAAAATGGAGTCCTTGGACAAGCAATTCATTTCCAACAATCTGCTGCGCCATATGGGTCAGCTCCCTGACTGGAGATTGAGAGCTTCCTAGTGCTGTGCTTTAACCTGTTGTGCCACCAGGAAGAGCCCTTAACCAGAGATTTGAAAAAGTGTCAGGAACAACTCCTAAGGAATGGGGAAAGAGAAGTCATTTTTTCAAGTCCTCCTGTTTCTGTACCGTGAGGTCAGTGTGGGGAGCACGAAACAAGAATGAAGCAATAAACTGGTAAGTATAGAACAGCAGAAAGAAGAACCAGAGTTGTGGACTTAAGCCATGACATATTTATACAATAACTAATAAATCTGGTTATTCATTTTGGTGCTTTGGGAGCTGTAGACTGAGATCAAAGAAGGGGGGAGGAAAAGCTAAAGAAGTGGTTGTGACTGGGTTGTTGGCAAATTTCTCAGGGAGTAATGGAAAGGATCTGTGAAATATTGTTGTGTTCTAATTTTTAAATTTTGGTCCTCTCACAGCTCCTGAAATAGGAAAATCAGGTCAGTTTCCCCTCAACTCTGTTCTTCCTGCTCTCTGGGCACTGGTCTCCGAGCCAGCACAGACTGTTGCTGTAAACAGGGGCTACGGGGGTGCTCTAACATCAGTGGTGTTGCACCTGAGGTCAATCCTGTGGAGATGGTGGGTAGTGGATCTTCTGATTCCTGCAATTTTAATTCTGTCCCTGGTATGCCTCAGAGTGGAGGGAAAAAGCATTTGCAGAGAGAAGGGCTGAGGCAGAAGCAAAGAATCTCAGATGTGATCTGTATTCCCTAAGACCTCTTTTGGATGTCCTAGACCATGCCAATATCAAAGGACACAGAAATAGCTCCTATTCATGGAGGAATAGCTACAGCAAATCTGTATTTGTATGCAAAAGGACTCATGTCACTGCCTGTGTCTGGTCACATCAATCAGTTGCAATTCTATCCACAAATATGAGTTCTTAAGCCTCCCATGTCTCTTCACTTAAATTTTTTACATCCCTCAGTTATTATTGTTTCCAACTTAGATGGAGAGCAGAGGAAAGTTGTTTCTCCCAACCAAGCAGCCAATGAGACAAGGTTAAGTTCAGTGAAGGTGAAAAAAATCTTGTTCATGAAACATTAACAACCAAGTAGGAAGTGATTTTTCGGAATCTAGAAACTGTCTCTGAGGTAGCTATGTCCCTGCCTTACCCTTATTTTGACTGGAATGTACAGGACAGGCATCTCTGAATCAGCCCCTCTTTGGTGCCTCACCACATTTGCCCCTACAAATCATCTCTAGAGATTCTCTGAGCCCACACCAGGGAACTAAGAGCTGTTGTCCATGATACCTACGCTCCCACCTATGGGTTTCCCCAAGCATTTTCAAGGATGTTTCTGTCCTAAAAGGAATTATTCCAAGAAAATTCTTAGTGCAGACTGGGCCCACCCTTGTTCTCTGTCTGTCTTACTTTTACCTGACTTCACCTTTTCTATTTCCCATGTAGAAAGAGTTCCAAAGGCCTTTCTTCATCTCGACCCTCCATGGTCCACTGCCTTCAAAGGAGAGACAATGACCCTCAGATGCGAGAACCCTCATTCTTCAGCCCAAGAAGTCATATCTTGGTATTCTGGCAATAAGTTGTTGGAAATTAAATCCAAAGAAATCAGAATAAGACATTCTGGAATTTACAAATGCAAGACCCAGGGGTCTTTACCCAGTGACCCTGTGGTTATCGAGTTCTCATCTGGTGAGGAATGAAGGGAAGTCCCTGGAATGAATCCCTGGGTGGCAAGTCTGAGGGCTGAGTTAGTGCAGGGAGCTCAGAAAGAGTTGTAAACAAGCAAGAGGATCTTCAGTGCAAACTGGGAGAAAGGGTAGCCCTGGGATGTTACACTGTCCATCTTTTCTGTCCAGAGAAGTGTTGGTAACCCAGAAGTCATCAGGCACAGGGGGACTCAGTTCTAAAGAAAGCTTTGGTATAAAATTCCTCTTTTGTTAAAAGATGTGTATAGGCATTAAGGATATTTCCCAGGAATTAGTTTACTCTCCTAGGACAAAGGAGATCTGGGCATTCTGGATGCAGGGGGCTGTTAAAGGACACCCTGTGCAGGCACAGACAGAACTGAAGTTCCGGCCTTGTGGGCAGGGATGAGTTCTCGAAGGAAGAAACAGCCTGGATAAATGAGTGTGTTCTTCACTCGTTGCAGCCTCGCTGATCCTGCAGGCTCCATACCGTGTCTTTGAAGGAGAGGATCTAGTGCTGAATTGCCGGATGAGGGAAGATAGTACTGATGAAAAAATATACTACAAAGATGGAGAAAGACTTGGCACTTCTAACTCGGAGTTCAAATTGAAATCAGTGTCTACAGGCAACAGCAAGTACCACTGTGGAGTACCATGTAACGTTCTTAAAATATTTGAAAAAATGTCAAACCCTCTGCAGGTCACAGTTCAAGGTAATGGCTTCACGTCTGTGGGTAATAGGGCTCAGCAGGAAAACATGCAAGGGGATTGAGGGAGGGCCTCTACTAGTGGGAATTCCATGGAAAACTCCTATACCCTGTGTGGGAGGGAGGTGGGAGATGACTCCGTCTGTAAGGGGCCTGCGGCTCTTTGCTGATGCGGAGAACATAGGTGCTTCTGTTTAGGAGTCCCGAGCCTCTCGGCCCTAGGAACTGTATGTTTTTTCTCTCTAGAGCTGTTCCCACCTCCTGTGATAATAGCCAGCCCTTCCCTACCCATAGAGGGAAGCTCACTCACCCTGAAATGCCAAACTCAGCTGCCTCCACAGAAGTCACACATTCAGCTTCAATTCAGTTTCTTCAAAGAAAATCAGGCCCTAGGGTCAGGCTGGAGCAGTTCCCCGGAGCTCCAGATCCCCACCGTGTGGAGTGAAGACTCTGGCTTGTACTGGTGCCAGGCACAGGCCACAACTCACAGAATCCTCAAGAAAAGCCAAAAAGCCTGGATTCAAGTGAAGAGTGAGTATCCCTGGGGTTCCTCCGGACAGTCGACTAACAGGAAGCTTCTGGCTTTCTCGGCATCCTTCTCTTTTCAGGGTCAGCACTGGCCTAATACTCCTAGAACATTCTCCTCCACCTCAGTCCTCAGCAGTAGTTATTGATCAGGTTTTGGTGCTTTATCCTCTGTGGGTTACAGAGACACACAGGGTATGTTCTCTCAGGAGTCGATGGAATCAGCAGCACAAAGGACCACATCCAGTCTTTAGAGGTGCTGCCATTTGTTGGCCTAGGTACCCCCAAATAATTGGAAAAGAGGAAGATAAAGACAAATTGAAAAAGAAGAACACAGGGAAATGGAGGTGAAAGTAGAAAAAAGTCTAAAAGGATAGGAGAGGGGTATTGAATTCTGATTAAAGGTCACTTCAGAATAGAAGTCACACTCTAGAAGTTTCTCTTATATTGTGGCCCATCAGTGCACCACAGATTCCTTAGAGAGGAATGTTGGTGAAACATGACTGCCATGCTCATTAAGTCAAAGTCCTGATGCCCACATTCCCCAAGATGGAATTGTGATTCTGGAATTCTTCCCCATGGAGGACAATTGTGCCCTTCACAATAATATACACAATTATTTCCTATTGCCTGATCTGGAGCCCTGCCTATTCTACTTGCTGCCTTTGACTTACCCATGGCAGTTACAACTTTCTCCTTAACCCTGATGTCACCTGTCATGTTGTGCCCTCCCAGGAGTTCCTGTGTCTGATGTGAGTCTAATGGTCCAGCCTCCCAAGGGGCAGCTGATCGAAGGAGACAATCTGATCCTTATCTGCTCAGTGGCTAAAGGTACAGGGACCATCACATTCTCCTGGCACAAAGAGGGCACATCAAGTTTGGGGAGAAAGACTCAGCGTTCCCTGTCAGCCAAGCTGCAGATTCCCTCTGTGACAGAGCATCATACGGGGCGGTACTACTGTTCAGCTGACAACATTCATGGCCCTGTACTCAGCAAATGGATTACAGTCACACCCAAAAGTAAGTTTCCATTTTTCTCACTCAGCCTTGACTGATGGGTCAGTGCCTCAGTTCTCTGTCAAGAAATGAAAAGATTGAAAAATAAGTTGAAGACACCATATTTCTCATGAATAGGACTGAGAAGTGATGGAAAATTCAGGATTACGTCTGTTTGTGGGCTTCTTAAGTAAGGTTTTGAATTTGCCATAGCATCAGCATTCTCTGACAGCTCCTTTTGCTCCCTCAGTTCCAGTGTCCCGCCCTGTTCTCACACTCAGGACTCCCCGGGCCCAAGCCAAGGTAGGGGACGTGGTGGAGCTTCACTGCAAGGCCCAGAGGGGGTCTCCCCCCATCTTGTACCGGTTTTATCATGAGGACGTCATCCTGGGAAACAGCTCAGCCCCCGCTGGAGGAGGAGTGTCTTTCAACCTTTCTCTGACAGAAGAACATTCTGGAAACTACTCCTGTGTGGGTGACAATGGCCTGAGAGCCCAGCGCAGTGACACTGTGACTGTCAACATCCTAGGTGAGCAGGGGACACTCAAAGCTGTTACAACCAAGAACAGGCTTTACCTTCACTCAACTCTTTGGGGCTGTTTGCTGTAGGATACCCCAGCCGACTCCCAACTTTTTTGCCTGAGACATTTGGGACTCTTCCTCCTACACTTTCAGCAGCCCAGGCCATTTCTTTGTTTCCTCTGGCATTGTCCTTAATAGTGTCACAGTCCACACAGTCTTTCTCTTAGAGGCACAGGCTTTCCAGAATACCACAATTTCTGACAGGGGAACATCATATAGAACACTTTATTGAAAAGTGACCAGAGCATTCTTTGCCAAGGTTTTCTGCCCCTACTCTGAGCTAGTGACATCCACACTTGATTCTGTGTATCTAGACCAAATGCCTCCCTTTATAGACACCCACAGCCTTGGGGACACAGCTTTCTTATGGCCTGCAGTTTGATGAACTGTCTCTTTCTCCAAATGCCTTATGACTCTGAATGTTAGGCTATCATCTGTTATCCTATATAGGATATAATCTCATGTTCTCAATATCAACAATCAAAATTTTTTCACCAGGGTGCCACGACATCTTGTATCTCCTACTTCCAGTGCATGCTGATAATTAACGACATACCCATTCATTTAGGAGATACCACTAGTCCAAGTCATACTTATTCCAAAGAGCCAGCATTTGGAGGGTGTGGTGGAGGAAAGTTGTGACTTCCTGTGACTCAAAAGTCTTACATGCCCTGGATTTGCCATGACTTCTTGCTCTCCAGTGATTCCAAACTATGAGAACACTTAGGCCATTTTGGTTGGTAATGAGTCTTCCTCTGGGCCACACTTGGGTTATGATTTATATGGGTATTTAAACCTGAGAGGTCCAGGCTGTGTGCTGAATTTGGTGCTTTCAGTCTTGAGTAAGAAAATATCTATTTCTTTTGTTTTAAACAGGTCTATTTACTAGTCTTCCCTCGATTTTCTTACTTTTAATGTAAATAAGTAAATTACACCTGATCTCACACTACTCTCATTCAAGAGTATTACACATGCACCCCAAATATTGATTATGTACATGTACTGTTTTATATCTACTTTATAAAACACAGAAATATAAATTAAGGCTAGAGTGAATAATTTTTAAAATATACTTAGAATCTTTGACTAAAATGGTAATCATATGTTTTTTTTTTTTAATTGAAAGTCTGAGTTTGCTCTCTGTGGTTCAGTTATTTGAGGTGTGATTATGAGTTATACTTACTCCAACTGGTTGCAGTGATTGCTAATGCTTAAAAACATCTTGTCAAGACAGCCAGAGCCAGATGGACTCAGAGCATCGCTGGTTGTTCCTATAAGGTCTTGGTACCCATTTTCCAATCCCATATGCTAACTATGCAAAGATTTCCTTTGAAAATTGCTTAGTACATTTATATTTCTATTGATGTTAATAAGTTATTCTTATAAGTGGGAAGTAACAAATAAATTCAAGCTTGGAAAAATGCAAATTGATTGCTACATTGTTTCCAAGACTTTTAAATATATATAGATTCTTAGAGTTGATAATTTTTTTGGTAAAAAACACACAAAATGTAGGTGTTTTAAACAATCATTTTGCAGCTGATATCTCCATAACATCTGTTTATTTAGAAAAAAATTAATAATGTGAGTAGTGCTAAAGGGAATTTTTTTAAGTGTCTGACTACTGAGTAAATATTATACTACTTATAGCTATTGATCACAGAAAAAGAAATACTTATCTTTCTTTATAGAGAAATACGCAGGTTATCTTTATATTTAGCCCTCTTTTTTGAACTTTGCCTCAAAATGATTGAAAAACTTACATGGGGTACAGAAAGTGTTCATCATCATTCCCCAGTCTTACCAACCCAAAGGCCAGCTTGCTTCCATGTGCTGAAAGTGAACAGTGGGAGGCTCCGCCTCAGATCTGTCACTGACCTCTCTGCCTCACAGGAACTCCCTGTATTGCTCACCATGCTGGGACCTGCCGCCCGAGTAGCAGGGTCAATGTGAATGTCAGTAAAGCTGAATTTATTTTGTACTTTCAGATGAAAAACCAAATATTCTTAAATAGTCCCATGTTTTTTCCTCATACCCCAATGGGCTTTGTCATACACCACCTACTGAATTTGATGATCCTCTGGGGTGGTTCAGCTCCATAAGTCTCTGACTTTTGGAACTGATCTTGTAGAAGTTTAAGTTTGTTGAACCCTGGAGGAGAAATGCAATGGAAGGATATGAGAATCACTGTTCCCAGTACACAGAAGCCCAGGAAATAGTAGGCTAGAAAGATTCCAGGGGCATGGTTAAGAAGGAGACTCCAGGAATATGTTTTCCAACTAGACAATAGTAACCCTGGCTGACTCAGTATGATATCATTATTTGGGGACTTTGAGTTCTATTGAAGGCTAACATCTACCTGGGGCATCTCTAGACAGTAAATTGCAGTTAATTTCAGTTAACTTCAGCTCTAGGTACAGTAACATCCCATTCACACCCCTTTTGGTGTTGATGTCATGATCAGATTATATCTGACTCTATCAGATGATACCTTCATACAATGTGTGCCCCCCAAAATACATTGGTAACTTTTAAGCCCACTACTCTCATAATACACAAATGACTGATAAACACATGAAAAGATGCTTATCATTTCCAATTATTAGAGAAGTGCAAATTAATACTATAATAAAATACCACCTCACATCGATTAGGATGACTACTATTTAAAAAAAAAACCCGAAAATAAGTAGTGTTGGCAATGATGTAAGAAATTATAGCCCTATGAATGGTTGGAGGGAATGTAAAGTGGTGCCTCGTTCATGGCAAACAAAATGAGAGTTCCTCAAGAAATTAAAAGTGAAACTACAATATGATCCAGAAATTCTACTTTGGTGTTAAAATCACTCCCCTCCCCCTTCAAATTAATGTTGATTCTGGAAGAGATAGTAATTTGCTTCTAAACATAGTAGCATTACTCATAATAGCTAGAATATGGAAGCAAACTAAGTATCCATTAGTGGATAAATGTAGAAACAGAATTCAGTATATACTTTTTTTAATGTAATAGTTTATTTTTACATCATTTTGTATAAATTTTTTC